AAGTCCTACCCTTTCTTCGCTCATTAGTGAAGGTGACCAGAGCCGTGGCTCTATGTATCTAACCTATGCGAACTACACGCATTTGTTATAAGGAATAAACTTAAGCCAAAAATTTTGAAAATCCCTCTTACGTGATTATTGCCAAATAACTTCCTGTAGTAACTTCCAGGTACGAGCCTGGCCCATTACCGTCCACTCATCGTAATGCTACAATAGGAGTAACCAACCAAAAAAAGTAAAACTAGTTTTTTCCACCACCAGAAAGGCTACGAAATTACGTGCACGATCATGGCTAACGACATGGGCACGCGGGAAGTTCTCGAGACGCCCTGGATCTTTTCCAGAAATCTCCCTATGAATGACAGAAATGGTGTTTAGCAGTTAAGATTGACTTCTTATAGTTGATCTTGTTGTGTGAGCTATAAGGTAGTAGAGTGGTTAGGTATATTACTGGCGCTACTGACTCTAGGATGCGATTGTACCATCCGTGAGCTTGCGGCATATTAAAATTCAGTTCATCTATCTCATACGGTGCTCGCTTGTGGATCGAATTAAGGAAAATTCGACAAATTGGCTAGAGTTGATAAGGCATGTGGTGGGACGGATATACCATAATAAATTTCACACCTTTGGCTTTTGAAGACGATGATTGATCGAACGTACAGTCGAAATAATAAAATTCACACTCGAGCCTCGATTGACAACAAATATCAGAAGTAACACTGCGCAAAATGCCGAGTTTTTAGGAAAAGTGGAAGCAAAATACTGGCACAGTAAGACTCTATCGTACGGGATGGATATATTAGTGATTAGATCTCATTAAGCCGGTTTGCAAAAACTTGACGCGTTCACTTTTAGAATCGCATTGTTACGTAATCTTAAGACTGACACTTCGATGTTGTATATTTGTATCTGTTCTGGACGTTCACTACCTTTGACGATTATTTACTGAACTTACAATTTCTATCTCACATTTACATTTGTTCTGAAATTTTTCGATCTAGTAACTATGTGCTGAGTACAGATATCTGTTATCAAGAATCTCCGATAATATCTTGGGCACCGTACCTAGTTTACCCCAGGTAAGATTTCTTTCTTGGTCAGAGTGCCTACGCTGAGGCAGTGACATTTATGTTTGCTTTATACGCTCATAATATCATGCAGCGAACAGCGGGCAGACCTCTGTGTAAGGAAACATACTGTGTATTTTTTGAAGCAAACTCACAATAAAAACATGAAGACGTTAACCCAGGTGGATGCTGCACTTCTAGCATTTTGTCCCACTAATTCACCAGTTATAAACAGGGACACAGGACCGGGCCCAGCGGCAAACACAAAATTGAATATGCAAATGGTGGCCAGCAACGGATAACCAAAAAATACAATCTGCAATTGGTTAACTGATGGTTCAGTAAGTGACTGGAACCGATTGTACCTTGGCGTATTCAAATCCAAACATCAAAGCAGCGATGAGTATATTCACAATGGCGAGAAGACCACATGTGGATAACAAGAGGATTCGACGACCAATTTTATCAATGAAGAAAGACGATGTCAGGATACCTAGCTAAATGATATCTTCTGTCTTGCCTTAAAACTCTACTGAAAAATAGTTGTTTTGAGTTGTTGATAACTATCAATTGATTGATGTCTGAGAAAGTGAACAACTTACGACCGACATAATGCATATCACGATATTACCGATTGACGCTTGCAATACGTTCAAACCAGTGGAGAGTAAAATTTCGAATGCAAATGCGTTAATTGCTGAAATAAATTTTTTTAACTAGGCGAAACTTAACTGAAGACCAGTTTTCACTCCAACGCGACAACTGGTTTGTTGTCGTGTTGGAGCGAAAAGTGGTCTTCAGTAAAGTTTGAATCTTAGCAGGATTAGCAACATTTATGAGTAAAGCAACTAAGAAGTGAAAAACAATTATTGGGTAATTTCTACCTGCAATGCCACTCATTGCCATTGACAACATGACTACAATGCCGACAAGAGTTCCACGGCGGG